GGTGACCCAGCCAGTGTGGTCTGTTCATTCTTATCATGAACCGTGAATGAGTAAGTCCTCACTAATCAGAGAACCACAGAAACGGGGTGAAATTAAAAAGTAGATCTCCTACAGGAAAGATAAAAGCTCTATTTTCTTCCCAGTTATGAGCCTGAAAAGTGGCAGACTCATCTAATTGATGGTTCCACAGTGATGGCCTGCTCTGGTCACTCAGAGGAGCCGACCAGCATCAGCACTGCATGGCTTTCTCTGTCCACCATCAGGCTCCGTTCTGTGGATTCCACAGAACAGAGTCTTGACCTCACAGCAAACTGTCATTGCCTTCTAAAGCTTTCTCCCATCTGTGTGTAATACACAAGATGTCACGGCGAGGTGCTTTCTGCCAAGCTGGTTCCAGCAGTGAAAGACAGCATAGACCCTGCCCCACAGTTCTGAGTTCTGGTGTGATGGCACAACAGTCTTGCCCAGGATCTCAATATCAAAACAAAAGTCAGTATTTTATTGTTAGATGACTAAAAGTATATGAAAGTTGATGTTCTGAGTTGGCAAAGAGAGGCCTAACACTTTCAGAATTCTTTAATGTAACCTAAGTTATTAATGTACTAGAATCAACTATAATTTATGGTTATGAAAATACTTCATAAATGTTTCAAATATGTACCTCTTTATTAATATTTAACAGCTCCATCTAGTGAGCTAGCAATTTCACTTGATAGCATTGGAGACTTTAACATATATCAGTAGAGACAGAGTTCATGTAAAGTCTCACTTTCCAATCTCTGCTGTAATACAGAGCAGGAGGAGGCAGAAAACACGTAGCCTTCTCGATTCACAGAAATGGAAATTCTCAGCCAAAGCTGTTCGAGACAGGTTAAGTACGTTCAAAAGAGCGTAGTGAGGAGACAGACGGGACTGGAGGGCAAAAAGGGAAGCAGGAAGCAATGCAGTCATGGTTTAGTCTCAAAAAATTAAAAGCAGCATAAGGAATGGAAGTGTGACAGTGTAATACACTGTATAAAAAGGTAAGGACCACAAATAATCTAACAAAGCTCACAAACCTAAATCCAGGCTGCTGCTCGTTAGTGAATGAAGCTGTTCCATGTCATCAAATCTGCCGTGTTGACCACTGCCTTCAGAGGAGGGTATGGGCGGCCGGGAATCAAGGCCAAACGTTTCTTCCATCTTGAAAAGGAAGAAAACCAGAAATTTGGCTTATTAAGAAGCAAGGAGAACACCATAATATTGTTCAAACTAGACAGCGATACAATGGATAACGGGCTGCAAGCTGCACCTGCACCCCCTGTACCTCCCCCCCCCCACTGCCACCCTCCCCCTCTCCCCCGCACGGGGGTTATTCTCCCATGAGCTGCACTAAATGCTACAGGAGCCTAGACTTGGAAACCTAGATAGTAAGAGTCATGTTAAGCATTAACAAATGAATACAAAGGAGCATATCCCAGAGCAGACAAAGACAAACAAACTGGCTGTCAATCAAGTCATTTGGTGATATATAACATCCTACATGTGTTCCTCTGACACCCATGACATTGTTGCTATTTCTTGGCCTTTGCTCTGCCCCACTCCCGGTACTATTATTTTCTTGGCTTGCCGTATTTATTTTTATTTTCCAGACAGGGTCTCACTGAGTAACCCAGGTTGGCTTTGAACTCGCAGCTTTCCAACAACTGGACTCATAGGCACAGACCAGATGACTGTCATGCAGACTGGCCCAAAATAGAACTTACAGATTGACAAACACTGCTGATAACTTAGTGGCCTTTCCTCTTGTCTTCGCTTTCTGGCCACGTGTTTTATGGGTTTTTAAAGATATACTCGGCTAGAAGGCTAACACATGCCAGCCCTCTCTGAAGTCTTACGTTAAATCAAAATGCTCAAAGAGTAACCTAGTACTGAGACACAGACTTTAAACTGAATGTCTTGAAACACAGCAGGTACAAAAGGATCGTTTTTTGACCTTTAAGCTGTTCCCTACAAGAAGCCTGAATGGAAATCCCCTCATGAAAGACACTGTCCCTGAAGGGAAAGAGAAAACAACATCTCCATCTTCAAGGATAAGCAAGGAGACCTTAAGTCTCTCCCTAAGAAGCACTTTCACAGCTATCATTCCTCAGCAGTCAGTCAGCATCTGAGGAACTGAGGCTCCCATGCTATATAAGGCTGTGAAGACAATACACATGCTTTTCTCTTGTTCATTTGTTTTAATGTAATTTAATTTCAGGGCCCTGCAAGCTTGGAAACAGGATTTGTCTGGCCCCAGTCTCTCAAGTAGAGGTGTTAGGAGGAAGGTCTCAGTGAGGCATCTAGGCCGTGAAAGCAAAGCCTTAATGAAGGAGACCTGCAACCTGAAAGAAAAGGTCCAATAAGAGATTTCTAGATAATCCGCTTATAGAAGGTTCATTTGTGAACTGTAAACTGAGCCCTTCCTAAGCATCAAAACTACTGACACCTTAACCTTCTTCTCAGCCTCCAGAAGGATAAGAAATAGATTTTTGATGTTAACCTCACCCAGAAAATGGTATGTTATAGTGGCCCATAGACATAGAACATAATCATCATAAATTTCTGTAAGCATAAATTAAAATTTTATGCTTACCATATAGATATATTAATTAATTTAAATGATCAGCATTTTAAAAACTTTGGTCTTACTTTTCCAAGCTCTGTAACTTGTTCCAGCTTTGTAACTCTGGCTAGCCCGATTTTGTGATCCTCTGCCTCCAAATCCTGACTGCTGGAATTACAAAAGTGTACTACCACACCAGGTACTACTGTTTATTTTTTTATTGTTGGGATTTTGGTTGTTCAAAATGAAATGTTTATATTTTTGAATGATCCACTTTCTATACAATCAGAATAGTCAGACGTGGGGACTGGAGAGATGGCTCAGCAGTTAAGAGCACTGACTGCTCTTCTAGAGGTACTGAGTTCAATTCCCAGCAACTATATGGTGGCTCACAACCATCTGTAATGGAATCTTACACCCTCTCTGGTCTTCCTCTGAAGACAGCAACAGTACTTACATAAAACAAATAAATAACTCTTAAAAAATATACAGTCAAGCTTCAGTAGAAGAGAAGGCACTCTGAGAACTGCTATACTAATTCCTGACAGCTTTCCCAAACAAATCATGACCACAGAGGAGAATATAAAGTTAAGAGGACCAACGGAGCCTACAAGGCACCACTCAACGCAGAGATTACATGAACGTGAGAAGTAAGGTATAACTACTTGACAGCAACTTCCCAAAGAAAGGAAAGGAGGCGACGGAGGGCACGGAGTACCCAAAAAGGAAGACATTTTGCAATATTTTTGGCTAACTGGGATATTTCAAACCACCAGCGGAAAGTCTGCTAATGATAATTGGTAAGGAAGAAAACTGCCCCAAATCTGGATTTTAGTAAAGCAGATTTGAATTTTATTATATTTATTTTACTTTACATGAGTGTTTTGTCTACATGTTTGTTTATGCACCTTGGTGCCTGCCTGGTAGGTACTGAGACTGAACCAAGGTCCTCTGGTAGAGCAAGGAGTGTTCTTAACTGCTGAGCCGTCTTTCTAGCCTTCAGCAAGCAAATTTGAAAGGTTAGATCTTTAGAAATTTGAATTTGGCCAGGCAGTGGTGGCACACGCCTTTAATCTCAGCACTTGGGAGGCAGAGGCAGGTGGAATTCTGAGTTCGAGGCCAGCCTGGTCTACAGAGTGAGTTCCAGGACAGCCAGGGCTACACAGAGAAACCCTGTCTTGAAAAACCAAAAAAAAAAAAAAAAGAAAAAAAAATTGATTTTTTTTTCTCTATAAATAGACAAAAAGCCCTCATCTATCTGAGGCAAATAATCCTGAATCAAAATCAAAACAAAAACAAACAAAAAATATCAACACTTTTTAAAAATGAGCAGATGGTTACAAAGTAGGTTTTCCCACAAATACATAATGGGTCAATATAAAAAGATGCTTAACATCACTAACCACTAATTAACAAAATGCAAATCAAAGTCCTAATAAGATACGTGTGCTGGTGCATGTCTATATCTCCGCTCTGTAACCTTAGCACTCAAAGAGACCTAAGGCAAGAGAATGTAGAATTCACAGCCAGGCAGAGTTGTTTTGAATCTGAAATGCCCCCTACAGGCTATAAAGTGCTTGCAGTGATATTTTGAACACTGAAACCTACAGGAAGCAGGGCCTAGCAAACAGCAGCTGGTCACTAGGAATGGGCCTCTCAGCGTTCCAGTCACCTCTGGTTCCAGCCTGTGTTCTCTGTTTCCTGTTCCCCATCACTAAATAAGACACTCCCACACTCCTGCCACCAAGAACTGTTCCTGCTATTTTGCCTTCCCTGCTATAATAAACAAATAGAAATCCCTTTGAAGTCATGAGCCAACGTTAACTCCCTCTTCATTTAAATGTTCTGTTGGGTGGCCACCATCTCACACAACAGGCCAGTAACTAAGGTACTGGGATATGAGCAAGTTGCTATCTCAAAACAAATCACACAGTAGAGCACACCAGCTACTCACAAACAAAAATTTGAAAAACTCAGGCAAACCAGCATTAGTGAGGGTATGGCAAAGCTGGACACATGGTACAATACTCTGACAAAAGCTGACCCCTCTGGTCACATCACAATGAGATGAGAACCAGAGAATGAGGAATGGAAAGGAGCAGTGTTTGTCTACCAGAGACAATGTCTAAGGTCCTTCTCAAGGTCTTTGTTTTCTGTTGGTTTAAAGTCAGGGTCTAACTGATATCAAATTTACTATGGAGCAAAAGCTGATCTGAACTCATAATCCTCCTGCCTTCACCCCCCATATGTTGGAATTATCTGGCTCATATACTCCAGGTACCCACCACACTCAGCTACTCCCAACATCTTCCCGTGGGAACACCCATGCTTGACATGCCCCACGAACATTTCATTTATAATGCTTAGTATTTGTTAGCTCTGTAAAAGTTCAGACAAGACACTCCTAACAGAACACTTCCCTAATAAGCATTTCTGTTAATAAGCTGGGCCAACTACAGTTTTAGGACTTCAAGAACAGGACCTTCATATCAATAGACTATAATTGTAAATTCTTCTTTTAAAAACTTGCCTTAGACTCCTTTGAAAATGCTTACTGGTCACTATAACCTGCAGATTCACACAGTTATTCTGTTATTCTCAAATAAAACACCAGGATCCTTTGGAGAATCTCTGATTGTGATTTAGTTTGGCAACCCGATAGAACCAAAAACAGGTCATGACCAGGTATTTACATACCAATATGAACAATAGGGTGGAGGACTGGAAACACCACTCTACTGAGGGCTGGACGGATCCACCTAGGCCTCCCCTGGGGCCCTGGTGTATAGAGAAGAAATGTGTTTGGCAAAGCCAGTAATAGCCTGGGCCCAGGGCCTTTAAGCGCCCCCACCCCCATACCTTGAGGCACTGATGCATAGAGAAGAAACACAGTCTTCTCTGAAACAAGGAATATGCTTGGCAGAGCAGGTCATGGCCTGAGGTCAGGGCCTTGGGGGAACTGTGGCTTCATATCCCAAGAAGCCAATCTTCCCACCATATTTGGCTATGGTTATCAGTCCCAAGACTGCTGTATACTAGATTTATAATGCTCTTGAGATACCGAGTTGCCCTTGTGCAACTTTGTTTAATTAGATTCCCACTGACTTGGTGCTATGGTATGACAGACTCTGCTTACTCTGCCCCACTTCTCCCCAGAAGTGGAACATAAGGTACTGTACTTCTTAATAAGCTTATTTGGCCTAAGACATAGCTTGTATAAGACCTCTCGGTCTCAAACTTTCTTATCTTCTCTATCTTCTATCATTAGCTTCTGATCTACTGGTCCCCTTTCTGAGGACCCTGTCACTGAAGAACAACTTGCTGGTCCAGGTCATGGCTCGGTAGCAAAAAGCATATATGGCTGTTTCAAAGGATCCTGGTTCAGTACCCAGCACTTACGTGGAAAGCCAAAATGTGGCACATGAGAAAACATTCTCAGAAGCTTCGAGTTGCCACACAGATGCCTTAGGCTAAAAACATTATTTTGCAGGTACAAAAAGAAGCCATGCTTTGGAACTTCCCTTGCATGATTGAAAGCAGCAGCTTTGGCTGTCTGGATGACACAGGTCTATGATCTCAGCACCTGATAACCGAGGCAAGTCCATTTCTTGGTGGAGGAAACCCTGTTCTACACAGTAAGACCTATGTCTCAAAAAGCACAAAGTCAGAGTGAGGGGGATGCCAAGAAGCCACCTGTGGGAAGTAAGCTGTCACAGGTCAATGAGGGTGGGTCCACTCCCATAAAGAATAGTAGGCCTAATACCCAAGGTGGCCTGAAGAGGGCAGCACCTACAATACCTGAATAAATAACAAATCACAAGTTTCCTCATCACGTTTGTCCCCCAAAATTTCATTTGTGGTTCCCAAACAAACCAATTTGTTCTACCCACAGAACCCTTTTCTTACTCTCCACTAATGTCAAACAGATACTCTCCGAGATCTGACCTGAAAGGGTCAGAAGAAAAGATTTCCCATTGAGACATCCATACAGGGTGAATTATTCTACCTCAGTGAGGTAGTCTGACATACACATGAATGAACCCTGAAGAGCTTATGCTTCATGACAAAAGCCAGGCATATAATGGGAATTATCATAGCTACACTTCTATATAGTACTCAAGTTCTTAAACAGAAGACAGAGTTACAGTTAGTGCCAGGGGGTGACGGGCGAGGGGAGGGCACTCATTAATTGGATGGATCAACATTTCAACGGAGGAAGATAAGGTTCTGGAGATGAACAGAGATAGTAGTCACACACAGTATAATGGTATTTAATACCACCAAACTATATGCCTAAAAGTACATAATACAGACATTTACACAATTTGTATGGTTGGCCAGGTGAACAATACATATCCAGAAACTGTCATAGTTCATCCTTTACCTAAAACAAGAGTATGTAGGTGGTGGAGGAGAGTCAAAATTGAACTTCTTGGGTATTCTTTATATACCACAAATACAGCCTTACCAAGACAGAAGCAGTAATGGTCCTCAATCCTCTTGAGAACACATTCTAAATGGGTGCTACGAACTACATGTTATGTGTACATAACACACTCGAATATAGCTTTAAATCCTCTCAGGGACTGTAACATTATATCATATATGTTAATAGTATAGGTTGAATATCTTAGTTTATTCCTAAATCTGAAATAAGTACCTACATTACACAAGTAGAAAATTTCATATGTGACTTCATATGACAGAATTCAGGCCACTGAAAATACTGTACACAGTCATCTTCAGGTTCGAGAAGTAAATAGAAAACAACGAACATGGATTGCATGATAAGGTATGATTGCATGATAAGGTATGATTCCAGAGGTCCATCAGCACGAACAGTGCAAGTAAAGATCCAAGACCACCCTACCATCGCTGTAGCAGGAAGAATTAATAGAAAATCAAGTGGTGATGGTTCAGAGTTTATTAGAGCTGAAACAATCTTCATTAACATATCCTACCATATTGATGCATATTGATATTTCCATAAATCATGTAATTCAATGTGAGAAGAGGCAGAAACTCAACATTTTGGTTAAGTGTAAAGGAAATAGTATGAACACATATTAGCTATTTTAATTTATAATCTTAGCATCATGTGTGAAAATGGACTACCAGTACTTCGAGTTGAATTTTATTTGAGGTCTAAGTTATTCTTTCTATATAGGAAAATGGTCCTAACAAGCAAGAATGACTGGAAGAGGGAATTCAGTAAGGGAAGCAACAAGGTCAGACCTGCGCTGGTTGGGATGAGAATGTCCCAATGGCTCAAATGTTTGACCATTTGCTCCGTAGTTGGTAGTGCTGTTTGAGGAGGTTTGAGCCTTGCTGGAAGAAGTATGCCATCTGGGGAGAGCTCTGAGGTTTCTAAGCCTGGTGCTATTCCTGTCCCCTCCCCAGACCCCACCTAGATATAGGCAGCATGTATCTAGCTGCTGTTTGCTGCCATCGTGGTCTCTCACCTTTTAGAACCCAAATAAATTCTTCTATAACTCACTTTGGTCCTGGTGTTTTTTGTAAAGTAAGAGAAAGTAACTAATATGGGCAATTATCTATCAGTCTAGAAATTAAGATGCATGTCCTTCAAACTGTAGTAAGCACTAACTACTGTCTTGATCAAGCCTTAATAAAAACCATTTTACCAAAAAACCCCAGAGTCTTGGTTAGACGTGACCGTCAACTTGTTACAACCCAGAGTCACCTGAGAAGAGAAAACCTCAACTGAAAAACTACCTTAAGGCTCCCGGCCTGTGGCACGTCTGGATGGGCCCAGCCCATGCTGGCGGCACCAGCTCTAATGAGTCTGTCTGGACTGTATAAAAAGCTAGCTGAACAGAAGCCAGAGAGTAAGCCAAGAAGCAGTACTGTAGCCTCACCTCTTGCCTGATTTCCTGCCTTGACTGCCCCCAATGATGGGCTTTGACCTAGAAGTGTAAGCTGAAGCCAGCCAACCCTCCCTGCTCAGGCTGATGCTGGTCAGTGTTTATCATGGAGGCCAGGAACAAACTAACAAGTATAAATTAAAGACTGGCCTTATCTCAAACAAGCTACATAGAAACATGCAATGACCTACCTTTAAGTGACTATTGTGAACAAAGACAGACATGAAATACGCACTTAAGTAACTGGAATGAAATTATAGTTAAATGTACATATATGCAAAAGATTTAACCTGATACAACTTTTAAGACATGAATTTTGACTAAGTGTATTGAATAAATATCCTAAATATACTTGTCTATTTCATCTCTTGCCTTAAATGTTTAAGTAGCAACACAGACCAATATTTCCACTTGTCTTTTATTTAAGTGGCTAGAATTTCCTATTTATGGGAGAAAGTAGCCAGAACAGAAGTGTGTGCACATTCAGTGATCTCTGATTCTAGTATGCTTATCTAAGTGAATATCCAGTGTGAACTGAGCACTGAGGGTCAGGGAAGGGCAAGCACAGAGAGAAAGCTATGCCAGTGGGGGACACCAGGCAACTGTGCCACTGCTTCCAGCATCCAAGACCACTTACACATTAAAGACACCTAGGCTGCTCAGAATCCTCAGCTGAGGGGCATCCTTGAGGCTACATCAATAGCTAGGATAGCACCTTGCTCAGCAAACAAATCCACAGGATTTACTGAAGGGAAAGGGAGGAAATGTCCAAGGGAGGCAAGGAAGCAAGCCAGCTTCTGCCTACTTTGCTCATCACACAGAAAAAGATCAGCCTGTGGAGACAGCAGGGACCTGTGTGAGCACATCATCCTCATACCTTTAAAAGACACCCTCTAGGGCAGCCAAGGCAGCTCAGAGGTTAAGAGCACTTGTTGATCTTGCAGAGGGCTCTGGCTTGATTCCCAGCACCCACATGGCAGCTCTAGTTCCAGGGATCTGACATCCAGTTCTAGCTTCTTCAAGCACCAGTCATGCACATGGTGTACATTCATATTTGCAGGCAAAATATTTATACATATAAGAAAACTAACAAAAAATTCAACAAATAAAAATACCACATATAATAACTTTCTTCTCATAAGCCTGAAAATTAATTCGGGCCAGAAAATAAACAAATAACCAAAACAAGACAATAAAAAAAACAAAAACAAAAGCAAACACAAACAAAAATATCCAATAGTTGGCCAGAAGGTGGTGGCACACACTCACCCAGTTTGGGAGTTTAATCCCAGTTTGGGAGGCAGAGGCAGGTGGATCTCTGAGTGTGAGGCCAGCCTGGTCCAGGCTGTTACGGGACAGCCAATACACAGAAAAACTCTACCTCAAAAACAAAAAGGGAAAAAAAAGGCAACTAATTAAATATAATATTATTTGAAAAAAATCAAGTTTACAGGTGATTTAATAGTAAGGTTAACCTATTAAAAGGTAATGCTTCTTGCCAAGTTATAAATAGTCAGAGCCTCAAATGTACAAGTAATTCTCTGGCACACATTACTCTTGCATTACACATAGCAGGGAAAATGCTGTGAACAGCAAAGATAGAAATAATAATGTACTGTATATAATAATATATAACATATAATAATGCACTATATGGTAATTTTGCCCTGATTTGCCCTGACAAACATATAACCATATAACAAAAAACATATAACAATGTTACCTTTAGAGAATTTAAAAGAAAATCTTAAGGATTAAAAGAACTCTTTATTGAACTGAGAAATGAGAAGAAAAATGTTACACACACACAAACACGTGACACACGAACACACACAAACAGAGAAAAACCACTAGACCAGCAAGGTAATCCACAGCTCAGGATTCCAGAGAAGTGGTGTGATACAAAAAAGGGTGACCTCAAGCACACAGCTCGGCTCCTGGCAGTACAAACTGTCAGCCATCCTAACTGTGAAAAGCGCATTTCATTTCTGCTTTATCTGTGGAAGTGATATGAGCGAGGGGCGGGGGAGCAGAGTGGGGAAGAGGTGGTGGCTGTGTAGCAAAGCCGTACCATGTCTGTGGTGCTGTAGCTATACTGCTCCATCTCCTGGGGATATGCACTCATCATGGACTCTGCATCGGGACACTCTAGCAATTCGCCTCCTGAGAGGTTAGCATGCAGCCACTGTGTGCCAGCCTGGAGTTCCAGCCTGGGAGATGCAGCAGCGGCCTCCCGAATGCATGGTGGTGGTGGGTGTGACTCCATGGCCCGGAGGTGATCTTGATAGAGCTCGTACTCCTCGTCAACAAGCATCTCTCTCTCCTCAGCCCTTCCCTCCAGCGGAGGGCTCAGGAATTCATGCATTTCCCAGACTTCGGAGCTGCTGTCCATGTCTTTTTCTTGGAACTGCAAAGACTTTCCCAAATCTAGAAAAGGTTCATCCACCAGTTCTTCAAGATAAGGCTCATCTCTAAATCCCTGTAAATAAAAGGTTTTGAAAAATGTTAAGCTTCACCTGTCTTAAAGCTGCACTATACAGCTTAAACCCAGAAGTGCCAACCTGACTGCAGCACCCTGCCTTAACCAACTCATGGTCAGAAGCACATGATCTTCTGTGTCACGAGACAGGAAGAAGCTGCAGCTCATTCTGCACAGCCCCGAAAATGCACAATTGAAAGCTTCATCATACGATAACTACCAACAATTCTCCATCAGTGAATTTGGTTAAAATGCTACACACATATGTGATTCCTCCCTAACACAAATCAAAGTTCACAACAGCACTCACACTTCTACTTAAGTTAGGAAAGACTGCAAGCTCAGCGTGGCCATGCATAAGTAACTCAAGTGATGCTCTTCTTTTGTACTGTTTTGAAGGACAGAGGATCGAACCTAAGGCCCCGCACGTGCCAGGCAACACTCCACCGCTGTGCCCCACCTCTAGCCCTTTACAAAGCAAGTGCTTTACACACTAAGGGCACAGTCGTATGTCTCAAGTGCTTTACACACTAAGGGCACAGTCATATGTCTCAAGTGCTTTACACACTAAGGGCACAGTCGTATGTCTCAA